ATAAACAAGAATTAATAATCTTATTTAATTTTTAAATTCTTCTTCTATTTTTGTATTTCAATAAATTTTGTAGACACATTAGTATAATTGAATATTTGAAACGTTTTAATACTTAGTTCAAAAATTTTTCATTGCATATTTGACAGTTTTTTATTGCATATTACATGAAATATTTTGTCGGTTTTTAATACTTAAAAATCGAGGCCTTGATAATAAATTTGAAATGTGAGTGTACTTGTGTATTTCAAGTATTGAGTTTCTTTTTTTTCTGTCAAACTATGATTAAAAGAAATCCATTTTGTTTTATTGTTCGACCAGTAGAATGTACTTAATTGTTATTTATTTTTATTTCTGAGTCCTCTAAATATTCAATATATTTATATTATTGGCTCGACAGGTGCATGAAACTGCCCTTGGCACTTTCTACTGCCTTTTATTAATCATACTCCTATCATCCTCCACCACTGAGTCTATCCTCCATCATAATTATGTGCCCCAACTATTGAATGCTTGTAACCCGCATGGTATAGAGAACGTTGAGACCACTATATGTATCGTAGGTCTCCGTGATCCTTAAAGTGTATGATCCATCACTGATTGGGCTCATAATGCGTCTCAAAAACACATTGAAAAATGTATTTATTTATCTCGATTGGGAAAAATATTTTGGAAATAGGGATAGTTTCGTTAAGATGAGCTCTTCTATACTAAATAAATAAATCAGATATAAATTCGATAAAGAAATACGGTGACCTAATTGGTTGACAAAACATTTTTTGGCCGGCTAAATGAAAAATATAACCATACATTTGTGACTCCAAAAAAACTTAATATTTATCTTAAAACCAGACTGGTAATCATGAAGGTGAATATAGCCCACTATAGAAATGACTAATTCAAAAAACAAACACAGAAGCTCCAAAAATCGTTTTAGTCATTGATAGTTACAGTTTTAAAGAATTAATATTTTTGAAGTGACTAAAAAGCAAAATAAATGTAATTTATTATTTATTATAAATGCTAATATTTTCCTCTTTAGGAGACAGATTATTTTCTTTTGAAACAGTCTGAGGATTCAAATTTTCCTCAACAAAAAAATTTCTTCACATTTTTGTCGAAAAACAAGCTGCCATCAACAATCAAATCATAAAAAATACTCCTTCATTATCCTATCTAGGCATAATTTTGACAGTAGATTAACTTGGAAACCTTATATCGACAACTTCCTGTCTAAATTAAACAAAAAGCAGAATCTGGTAAAAAAGCTGTCTCCTACTACCTATGGTAGTGGTAGATCCACATTCCTAAAAATATATCTATGGTGATTTGTCTAACCATTGACTATGCATCAATACTTTATGGCAGCTACTCGTCCAGCTTACTAAATAAATTAAATATATTTCATAATTCTATGATTTGATTAGTGACTGGAGAGCGCGCCCTACAGCAAGTTTACTTTGTGACGTGGAAGAATGGTTACTCTCATTACATAGGGCATACAACTTCCTTCAAGTGTCAGCCAAACTGAAAATCACTCTGAGTTTTGAAGGGATCACTCCTATACCTCATACCCATCATTTTGAATACCATGGATTCGATAACTCTCGACTCTTCTCATAAAACATCCGTTGTTTATTCACATCCAATTTCCAGTTGGCATTTAACCATTTCAAAATTCTACTTCAATTCGTTAATTTGTTGAAAAATTAGTCTTATCCATATATGACATTGAATTATTTTAAATAATGCATCACCAGTTACGAAAATAATCAATTAGTATTCACTGATGGGTCAAAGACTGACAAAGGTGTTGGCTATTCAGTGATAATCGGCTCAGAAATCACTCGTTACTGTTTACCTAACATTTTCTCCATATACTCGGCTGAACTGTTCGCCATAAAACTTTTATTGCTATCCATAACATTAAGCAGTGTCTACGATAGATTTTCAATATGTTCTGATCCTCTTTCGGCATTAACTAACATTTCTAACAATTTCACTAACAACAACTATATCACATCAAACATTATTTCACTTATACATTCCATATCAGAATACAAAACTATAAATTTTATGTGGGTCCCCAGCAACGCAGGTATTGAGGGCAATGTCCTCGCTGGCACTGCTGCCAAAGAGGCTTGCACCCTTTTTCCTGTACCACGTCCTTTCTTCCCTTTACCAGATTTCAAATATTTTATAATAGACAGATAAAAAACAAAATTTTCTCGATCGCAATACTTACCTACTAATAATGTAAGCTACTAATAAAGTAGCAGTACATGGTACCATAATGTTAAATAAATAAAATATTATTTATTAACTTAATCTTACTGTTTGAATGATATATAAAAAAAATTAATATTCATAAGTGATTATTATTCCTCAATAATATTTTATGTTCAGCAATATTAAACAATTATATTCCTTTTATAATTATTAATTATTTGAAATAAAATAAAATAAATAGAAAGTATGATCTCATTGAATAACTGTTTGTTAGCCCATCAATAAATATTTTAATTCACCAATAGAATGTTAAAAGCTGTAGTTCTAAATAAATAATAATAAAAAATAAAAAAAATGAATCATATACTCTAAAGGCACAAAATACTTTATTATCACAAAAACAATATGTACAGTGAAACAAATTCATCACTAATCACAATGAGGTAAAGGGGTCAAATTTTTTTTTACATATTTAATTTAAAATTATAAATAATGCAAATTACATATCAAGATAAATGTAGATATTGATATATATACACTTTACAATGAGGAAATATAAGCATTTAAATTTAACAAATTAAGGAAATATAAGCACTCAGCCACCAAAAATAAAATATATGAGCTATAGCTTGATGAAAATTAATTGATAGCCTGAGGGCTACTGGTAGCTTAAGAGTCACTAAGTTAAAACTAACGTTGTCCTTTTACATTGCAAGATGATCTTTTAATATACGTATATATTGGTAAATATTTCATAAATAATATCAGAAGGTAAGGGAAAAAATAAAGTAGTAATTTCAACTTATTGCCACACAAGTTCATCCATGGGTTGCCAAGTAATTGTGGTAGAGTTATACTTGACATATATAATTTCATTATCTATCTAAATAAGCGATATAAAACTAAAAAAAATCATTAAAGGATAAATTATTTAAAAACGAGAGAATAATGTTGCTTTTCTTCAGTGATTTAATTGTAGCTCTTAAAAAAAATTAATTAAATTAAAAAAGAAACTATAAAGAAACCACAGGAACAAATCTGTTAAATTGGAATTTTTAATGCAAGTAAAAGATTAAACATTATTCAATACTGACATTTATCTAATCTACTAAATTATCATTACTTTTTATTTTATTAGAAAAAGATCTGAAACGATTGTTACCAGACTATATATTACTATTATTTTTTATGATTTATGAAAAAAAAAAGTTTATTTAATTTATTATTCTTTTTGTTTTTTTGGCTGAGTGGCTAGCAAAAGTACACTTCAGTATAATCAATCTTAAAATAATACCAATTGTATCATTTCAAAACAGTTAAGTACAAGATAAATAAAACTTGTTACATACTAAAAATGACCTTTTAAATGAATCCTAATCCGAAATAAGAGTATTCAAGATAAAAATAATTTATTTTTATGAAGTGATAATTAGAATAATTTTGAAAAGAATAATATACATTTCTAACAACATTTAAATATACATGTGAATATATAGCTGATACAGCTAATTTTATAATAATAATTTACAAGGAATTCAAAAAATTGTTTGATTGCTTTGATTAAACATAACCAAAAGTTATGCCTTCCTGCTTCTTGAATCAGACAGTCTAATAAAAACCATTTAAGACACATTTTATGAAATAATTTGGAGTTTCTAACTGATACTGAACATACAACCAAAACTTAAAACAGTTGAGTATTTAATACCAAAATTTCAGTTAAAAACTATCTAAAACAGCAAGAAAAAATAGTTTGACTTATTTCCATTGCCAACTTCTTAAAGAATAAGATTTTGAATTGTTTTAGATAACTATACTGTTTCTTACACTGGTTTCTTACATTTATTTTTTACTAAAATCTCATGAAGAGGTCCAAAGAATAAAATATTTCAGAACACTTATACTTCCAATTTAAAAAATCAATAAATAAAGATATTGATGAAGAGAAAATTTGGAAATTAATTAAGTTGTATAAACAGATTTATAAGGATAATTTTGGCCTTGATAAAATTATCTAACAAATTTCTTTGTAAATAAATAATAAAAATTTAATGATTATAAAATAAAACAAGATTAGATTGATAAATTTTCAAAACTTAATTAATTTTGTACAATATATACCTTTAATTCATAATTGAAATCTTTGTAGATTTAACAAAATCAAAATAAGGGGACTGTATATAGTTCTATTACTTAAGCTAAATACGAGCTGGTGTTTTTTCTTACTGATTAGCATTATTAATTAAAATTGGATTTTATAAAATAAAAAATATTTTTAAAGAGAAATTTGATTACTACGAAAATGAAAAGGTACCTTTTCTTTTAAAAAATACTATATAAACAAATTATGAACTTTTTTAACAGGTAGAACTTGCTATGACTGTATGTTTCTCATCGATAACTTAGTTCACTATTTACTTTTCAAATCTTAACCTTCACTTTTACAGAATTACAGAATCTATGGAAAACTTTAATAACAGCTTATTAAAAACAAATAGCAACCACACCTTTGCAAAGATAACCTTTTAAAAAACCGTAATCGTGTTAAATCAAAATACTACCAACAATTCAATGACACTGATGAAAGTAAACATTATTTAAAACAAATTCACAAAAACAGAGCCATGTTCATGGAAGTTAAATCACACAAGTGATACGTTTTACAGTTTGTACATTTACTACCGATTCGATAATATTAATTTACTCTAAAATAAAACATGGTAGCTAAAGCAAAATGCTGTACTGAGGAGAAATGAAAGAGTGCTTTGAGGATATCAGTAATAGAGAGAGGGGACTCTGTGGAAGGGTATATGGGTAAGTGATAAGGCGTGGGCTCTTCGATAGGACCACAGGTAGTTATCGATAAGGATAGAGTTGCAGACGAATCCTTCATCCCCTTCCTCCACCATCAGGCGTTCAACTTCTTCCTTCAATCGTTCCACCACCTCTATTGAGCAGCCACGGATCTCTACTTCCATTTCACACCCACTGATCATTTCTTGTTCTGTAATCAAACAAATGATGAATCATTTGCATGTAAATGATTGAAAATTAGTAAATTTAGCAAAATAACATTTTCAATATCGTAGACATTAAAAATGCAAACCAAATCGATGATCGATAATGAATAGGTATTAAACAATACCATTTGATATAAGGTAACCATATTTTAACATCGGTAAAGTGAGGTACCATGGACCAGGAAGAGTGATAGGGCAGGGTTCTTGATTAAATATTTGGTCTAAACAATGATCCAAACTTGCTATTACAATAATTAATTTCACATAATGATAATCAGGTGCAAATATATTCAGCTGAAATAAAGTTGATAATTTAGTTCTGAAGATGTATTTTTGATGTGAATAAGATGATGATATGTTTGAAGTCTAATTTATGACTTCATTAATAACACACTTTTTAAGAATTAGATGTATTGTGCCAACAGTTTGTATAAAATCAAGCAGCTCTTTTTCAAAATACTATGAAAGTTACTGAAGGTGACAGAATTCATGTAATCAAAGTAGCAAATGAAGTTAACTTGCTGATGCCCAAGATTTATTCTTTTCCTTATCAACATATATATGTTTTAATCATGATAGCTCATTAAAAATACCATTTCCGGATCGTTTATTCAGCCCAAGCACACTCAATCTCAACTGGTTTCAGCATCAGTAACACAGTTGAGAGAGTAACGCAGGGATCTCCTGGAATCCTGCTTTTCCCTCTGTAGTTGGAGGTACAAGTCTGGCTTCGAGTTCCCTCACCTGTTTGTAAATAGTGCATACAGGTGTATCTGTTTTTTTTTTTATAGATTATTTTACTTATTTAACAGTTATTTTATTTTAACTACTTTTTGATTATATTTAGTTGTTATTTTTCTTCTGTTAATTTTATCTTTTCTGTATATATGGTGTGAATGTGATCTTACCTCACTATAATTATTGTCCAAGTGACAGACTAATATATTTCTCAAGCTCCAAAAAATGAGGGTTGAATTCTAACAACTAATCAACAATGCCAACTTTGATAAGCAGTTCTCAACAATGCCAACTTTGATAAGCAGTTCTCAACAATTCTTCTTTTTCTCTCACTATCTTCTGTGTGTTGCTAAGCGTGGAGTAGCTGCCTCTGACCATCTTGTCCAGAACGGTCCCTGTCCTGTGCAAGCCTTCATCTCCGGCATGGTGATTCCTCTAGCAGTGCCAATTCTCTCAATCAAATCTGCATACATGAGCCTCGGCCTGCCTTCAGGTTGTCTTCCTCCCAGTCTTGCTTCTAGAAGCCACTAAGAAAAGGCCTTATGGTCAGCTGTTAACATGCCTGTACCACTTCAACTGTCTTTCTTCAATCGTCTCTAGGACAGATCTAACTCGTTCATGTCACACTCTTTCATTCCTCATTCAATCTCACCTGTTTTTCCTAATATTTTCCATAGGAATCTCATCTAACCTTATTACTCCCTTTGGGTTTTGGTAAACGGACTTGATTTCACAAATAAGATTTTGTGGGATTCTCCTGTATTCCAATGCATCCCATATTTCCTCTCTAGGAACATGGTCAAAAGCCGCCCGTAAATCTAGAAACAATTATTCTTTAATCTTAATGTTAAATAATATAATAATAATAATAAGGCTTAGCGAACCCGAAGGTTCGATGCCGACACCACCAATCGCTTGTTACACACCTCCCTCCACCGTTCGCCGTCCAAACCCAGTCCCTTCAGATCGGCCTTAATGCAATCCTCCCATCTTCGCTTCGGTCTACCCCTCGGACGCTTACCATTCGGCACAGCAAATATTAACCTTTTAGGAATTCTCTCGTTACTAAGCCCAACAACTTTACAAGCCCATTTGATTCGCCGCGATGAAATTACATCAATTATATTACCCGGATACATCTCACGCAATTCGGCGTTATGTAACCGTCTGAACTCTCCGGTTAACTCATCCTTTTTCGGTCCGAATATTCTACGCAATACTTTATTTTCAAAAACTTTAAGACGCTGCTCATCCCTTAATGTAAGCGGCCAAGTTTCGCATCCATAAAGAACTGTAGGTAAGATAATTGTTTTATAGATTCTAATTTTTAAGTTTCGGGACAAGAGGCGCGAACTAAGTAGTTTTGTCACAGAAAAATAACAAGCATTCCCCGCCTTCAGTCTAACCTTAATCTCTTCTTCAATTTCGTTTTTTCTAGTTATCGTAGAACCTAGATACCTAAATTTATCTACCTGTTCAAACATATTACCATCTATATCGATATCACCAGTAGTATTGCCATTTTTGCAGCTAACCATATATTTTGTTTTATCCACGTTTATTTCGAGTCCTAGTTCTTTCCCGGCTTTCATTAACGTTGTCATATTTAGTTTTATAGTTTCAACGTCTTCGCTTAACAGTACCAGATCATCAGCATAGCCCAGCACGGATGTTGTCCCGCCCAGATCCAACCCTTTCTCGGTTCGCATTACCTCCCTAATGGCATATTCTAATGCCAAATTGAACAGGACAGGCGAAAGAGAATCCCCCTGTTTTAAGCCCGAACGAACCTCAAATTTTTCGGACAAATTATTACCGATTCTAACTTTATTGAGTGTCTCCGTCAAGCACATCCTGACTAGATTTACTAGTTTTTTTGGAATCCCCTGCTCGATTAGAATATTATACAGTTTCTGGCGGTCAATAGAATCGTAAGCCTTTTTAAAATCTATATACAGCTGGTGAACAATACCGTTATACTCCAATTTTTTCTCTAATATTTGCCGTAAAGAAAATATTTGATCAATAGTCGAACGATTCCGTCTAAATCCGCATTGGTAGTCTCCGATAATTTCCTCAGCGTATTCCGTGATTCGACTGGTTAAGATTAAAGTGAATATTTTATAACATACCGGAAGGAGTGAAATTCCTCGATAGTTATTACAATCCGTCCTCGGACCCTTTTTGTGAATCGGAATAAGAATAGATTCTTTCCATTCTTCAGGTAATTTTTCGTTCACCCAGATCTTTTTAACCAACCGATGTATTTTAGAAACTCCAGCTTCTCCGCATGCCTTAATTAGTTCAGTAGGAATATTATCGATTCCCGCTGCTTTATATGATTTTAATTTTCCGATAGCTACTTCAACTTCCTCTTTACTTGGTCCTTCTATTAACGGTTCAGCACTCTGGTACTCAGAAGGAGGACACAGATCATAATTTCCCGTATTTAAAATATTGTCAAAGTGGTCCTTAAACTTATTCAATATGTCAACCGGATCGGTCAGAATATTGTTATTATCATCCCTAATCCCAGACGTTACGGGCCCTACATATTTTCGTGATCTGTTTATACCTTTGTACATGTCTCTTACGTTATTTTCGATTCTGTTAGTTTCTATTTCAATTATTTTATTTTTAAGATACTCCCTTTTTTTATTTTTGAGCAATTTTGTCGTTTCGTTCTTTGAGATTCGGAAGTATTCCAGATTGTCTTCGCTAGGATTATTTAGAGCTTTTAATTTAGCGGCTTTTCTTTTTTCACACATGTTTAAGCAATCTTCATCAAACCACGATTTGTTATTCTTATTTTCCTTTTTTCCTAGACACGAGTTACCGACCGCTTTAATATTATCTCTGATCTCTATCCATAACTTGTCAATATCCTCGTGGTCCTCGTCAGGAAGCTCTAAAGCTTCAAACCTATTCTTAACTTCTAGCTCGAATTGGTTTCTAATTGATGGATTTTTTAATTTTTCCAAATTAAAATTCTCAAAATCGAAACGGTTTTCTTTTCTCTTTTTTATATTAAGTTTTTGTCGAAGTTTCGCGATTACTAATTCGTGATCCGACCCACATTCTGCTCCGCGATAAGACCGTACATTAATTATACTGCTTTGCCAGCTGTGTTGTATCAAGACATGATCGATTTGATTTCGTGTTTGCGAATCCGGTGATGTCCAAGTATATTTATGAATATCCTTATGTTTAAACGTCGTACTTTTAATTATCAGGTTTTTCGAGATGGCAAAGTTTATCAGACGGATCCCATTATCATTACTATATTCGTGCAAACTTTCTTTACCAATCGTCGGAATATAAACTTCTTCCCTTCCTACCTTTGCGTTCGCGTCACCTACAATTATTTTCATGTAGTTTAGTGGTAGTTTATCATAAACCCATTCGAGTTTATCGTAAAATTCACTTTTGACTTCATCGTCACTGTCTTCGGTCGGACAATGTATGTTTATTAATGCGATTTTAAACCAACGTCCCTGAAATGTAGCTACCGAAATTCTATCACTAAAGAATTGTACGTCCCTCAAAGCGGATAGTAATCTACGCCTAATTAGAAACCCGGTACCTAAACAATGATTCTCGCTTCCTCCGTACCAAATAGTGTACTTCCCTTCCCTCATCGAGCCCTCACCTGGCCAGCGAACCTCTTGCAGAGCCACGACATCCAAATTGTACCCATTTACCTCATTCGCAACCGATTTTAGCCCCCCTGCTGTGTTTAAACTCCTTACGTTCCATGTACCAATATTTAAATCCCTATATTTCAACTTGCGCCATGAATCCCCTAAAGCAGTCCCCACCCGGAGACCCGAACGGGGGACTAGTTTACCTCCGGATAATGAGCGTTTTACCTTAGGGAGATCCATGACTTTTTGTGGTGTTTGGTGAACTAAAGATATGTGAGTAGGGCGTTCAATCCTACGTCACACCCTCCAGCAAGTCTGGTGGGCCCCTACCTCCAGCAAGTCTGGAGGTCCCCTCCCTCCAGCAAGTCTGGAGGGCCCCTCTCATTGTTGGTCAGCGAGTCCATCGGACTTAGCCGGGAGGAACTTCCAAGAAATTTCCACCGACCATTCCCACATCCGCCACCCGTGGGACGCTCCCCATACGCGGTAATGAGCCCGCGCGATAATAAATAATATAAAATTAACTAAAATAATATAAAAGTCATATTCTGACAAAATAGCTACATGGCTACCAAAACCCCTATATTCCATTTCCGTTCTGTTTTTCCCTAGTTCATCATGCATTCTTTCCGAAAATCAGGAGCCTTTTAAAATATAGTGGAACACAGGACAAATTGTTAAAATTGCAAAAAGCGGGACGTCTGGTCACCTTAATTTAATACTCAGCCAAGAATAAGGAAATTTAGACATTAGGAAATTTGATAATGAACATGATTTGATTTTAAAATATGACCAAACTTCTAACATATAAATTATTAAATTAAATATCAATGATAAATAAAATAAATCAACAACACAAACACGAATTGACTTAATTATTGACTTACCTTCTCTAAGGACATTCATTAATTCTTCACTATAAGACATAGTTTCGAAGAGAACTAAAACCTGAGGTACCCTGAGAACAGTAAAACCAATTTTTTTTTTTCCGAAACAAAGAAAAAATAAAACAATAATAAAATAATACTGACCTATAATCAGCAAACATTGTAATGGTGTCAATATCTTCAAATTCGCTGATACCTTCCCCATAATATAGTGACCACACATCAGCAACAAGTATCTGAGCTCTTTTATGAAATGAAACTAAAGAAAAAATACAAATAAAATAGAACATTGAAAAATTACAGTAAAAATGTAAGTACTAACAAATAAATAAATAAAAAACCTGATTCTCCTTTATATGCAGCTATATCATTGAAACATGGAAATTCAGATGTTATCAATCGCAGAAGGCTTTGAGCATTTTTGTTACATTTCTTAATACAATTAATGAAGTAACCTAAAGTAGTAGAGAATAAACAATTATTAATCGCATAAATTAAAGTTTTATTTCTTATAAAGTCGGAATAATAAAAATAAAACATGTACAATACATTGATAACTTCAATATTCATACAACGTGGATAATACCATCAAATTTATCAATGAGTATTTTCCCAACTTCATGAAGACAATTCAGCCTCTCAGTCAAAAGAGGAATATCGACTGAATTATTACCCTTCAGTATGTCTTTAAGCTCTTTGAGGGTAATTTTGGAATAAAAGTCAGGATTATGCATACATTTTCCATTCTGAAATAAAACAACATAGCTTATACATTAAGAGAACACAGATCGATACTAAGTATCAGGATATTGAATTATGTTTTTGTATAAAGCACTTCATAAATGATATGGAGGGCATTTAAATGTAGACTAATAATGACTTACGTCAAGTGCCTTCCCAATGGCTGCACATAATCCAAAATACCCTGAGTAAGTTTGATTGCGAAACGTTACTTCCCATTGCGGAGGATTGGGATTCTCTGGACCTGCACCTTTCGGAATCCAAAAACAAAAGTTTAAGGTATCTATAACAAACACCAAATTAATGGCATCCTTTTCACTTAAATCTGCAGGAAATGTCTCCAATTCTGCAGGGCTTGAAATCCTTATATTTTCTTCTCGTAATTGTTTCAATATCTAATACAAATTAAACTCAAATTAATTTCGAACACTCACTTCAACCTTAAAATTCATTATGTCCCAAAAAAGAAAACATAATTACGTCTTTCGCCAATTTGCTTATCCCTTCGGGGTGTATGGTGACATGTTTCGCCCGTTCTGATATGTATTTTGCAGATTTTCGTGGTGACAAAGGTACTTTGACTACCATTTGAGATGTTGGTAAAATAGAAGAACTAGAATAAAAACAAACAATGGATAACAGATACTGGACTGAGGTAACACCAAGGTTATGTCCTCAATACTCACCTGTTACAAAACAAACATGAAATGATTCTACATCAGCATTAATCTATTCAGTCACGTCCGTCTATAAATTTGCCTATTATTTTATTGAAAAGTATCTTATTTCTAAATTTATTTCATATATAATAAATGTACATTTGCAACGCTTGAATTGTGACGTACACATATGTGATAATTTTGATATCGTAAATTTCCAAGTAACGTATCTGTCAAGATAAATGCCCAACTCTTCCGTTTAATAAAGGACTATTTATTATGATTATAATTTTAGTTCTATAAAATTTAAATACTTCGTTAATAAATACTTCCGTTTTATTAACTTTATTTGTTATGAAAATTGCGCCTACACAAGTAGAAGTATTTATGAATACGCTTTGAATAAGAAGCTATCATATTTTATAAATCTGTGTTAATTTTGATGTCCATCTATTTCGATGGTTCACTTTTATTTATTAAGATGCATTTAGAATTTCACAAACTATGGAGAACGCAATTACCTAATTTAACTAACAGCGACATTATTGCTAAACCAAATTATTTATTTTATATCTCTTGATACCGACAGCAGATGGAAAATATTTAAAACAAGAAACAAAAATAATAACATGGTGAAGTAACGATTTATATATTTGGAGAGAAGAATAGTTGGGGTGATCAGTCAAATAAGAAGGTAAAAATAAATGACACTATTTATTTTGACATTAGCCGAAGTTTCGAACTGAAGTTCAGGCCATCATCAGGGCTGATTACAGAGATGTAAATCTAGTTTAATTTACATCTCCGTAATCAGCCCTGATGATGGCCTGAATTTCAGGTCGAAACGTCGGCTAATGTCAAAATAAATAGTGTCATTTATTTTTACCTTCTTATTTGACTGATCACCCCAACTATTCTTCTCTCCATTATTCACCACAGTCAACCATTTACCAATTATGGATTTATATATTTGTTTGTCTCCTTGTTTGTAAAATGTCTAAACACACATTTATATTTTGGTGTATACCACTTTTTACGTATTAACTAATGCGTGCTAATGACAAGCAATTAAACTATGATTTTAATTTTTTTTAAAATGTATAGAGTCATGGATTTTCAATTTTTATTTTTGTATGACTTATTAATTTGAAGCTAAGCTAAAAAAGCATTTCTCAAAGATTCGCAATAACAAGTGCTAAGAAAACTTAAGGACCATTTTTTATTTAAAAAATAAAAGGTAAAGATATTAATGGTTGCATAATTAATAATGAAAGAGTAATCAGATGATTTGTGGTATTCTCAAAGAAAATTGTGTCTTTTAACTAATAAAATTAACCCAACTTTTTCTCGCCAGCTGTGGTATAATCGTATGAAGATTTATTTTAATGGTGTGTAATAATATTTCATCAACGTAAGTTGAGCTAAATAAATTTTAAAAACTTAAAAAATTCTAAAAGAAGAAATCTCTTGATTCACAAGTATTGAAACAAGCAGACGATTAAAAAATCTCCAATATCGACAATTTATTTTATCTACTAAATTGTTATTTAATAATTGTAGAACAAGAAAAAAATTCGATTTGATAGTTGCGTCACTATATATTACTATTGTTTTCTACACTTTGTAAAAAAAAAAAAAAATATATTATTATTATTTCGTTTATGTGTATTATTATTTTTATTTTTGAGTAGTTAGCATAGCAAAAGTACACTTAATTCAATTTTAAGGCGTGTTTAAACATTTCAAAAACTATAGAAAACAAAAATATTTAAATAGTTTTCCATATTTTTGTTCCTTGTTTTTGATCTTTTCCATCTGTCGTCGGTAACAAGAGAAATAAATAAAAAGTTGGGTTTAGCAATAAGGTCGCTCTTAGTTAAGGTAGACAATAGCGTTTCTATATTTTGTGAAAAGTCAATGAATGAATATTTTTATGCTTAGGCCAGCGACAATCCAATCATTTCCTAATACTTGAGCAAAAGATAAATCAAACAATTAACATACTAAAAATGAGCATTTAAATTGATCGAAATCTAAGGAAGAATGAAAAAAAAAATGTCAGTGGCTGATTCTTATCTTCCCTCTTCCACAGTAAGAGAAATTAATGTTGAATAAAAATTTGCCAATGTTACACACCACATTCTTGTCATTACTTGAATTATTTCTGCCTTAGGGTTCCATAAGCTCTTAGAAAAATCAATTCGATGGTTCATTTCAAACTGTTTCTTCAACATAAGTATTCGAGGCTCGTTCTTTCTGACGCGGTTAAAAGTTGTGATGGGAATAATTATTTCTCATCAGTAATTTCTAGGTTACTCCTTCTGTTTTGGAATGAAAACCTGTGATCAGAATTTTTATCACATCTTGCTCACTATGGTTTCTATAATACTAATATTGGAAGAAAAATAAACTTATATAAAAACTTTTAAAAATATTATTTTCATATTTTAAAAAAAAAAACTAAATATATAAATTTTATTCACACCAAAAGTTCGATAATACTTGAGGTTTTTTATTACTGCTTTATTTATTTTTAAAATTTATTTAGAGTACTAGAAAATGGGTAGTTTCTTAACAGGCGTTTGCATGTGATTATATTCCTCTTTACACATTTAATTGATGTATTTATACTAATACAGTTGTAAATATCATAATAAAAATTAAAAAATAAAAATAAATAAATATTTATTAATTTCAGAATTTTGTATTTATGATATATTTAATATTATATTTCATTTATTTTTTTTATGTACTTTATTTTAATTTCTTTGACTTGCAAATAATTTACAAATGTGAATAATTACTCAATTACATCTTGCTATCCCAAGGTAGGATATTGTTAATTTGCCTTCAGACATTTCACAAACTGTGCGTTTAAATAAACGGACAAACAATTACATACATCGTTACTTCACTACGTTATTATTTTTGTTTCTGGTTTTTAATATTTTTCCTCTGTTGTCGATGTCAAGAGAAATAAAATAAATAGTTAGGTTTAGCAATAATGTCGCTGATAGTTAAATTAGATAATTGTGTTGCATCTTAATATTTGCGAATACTGTTTTGTAAAATTACATTGTTTAAACACTGCACATTGCCACGTAGTTTTACTCTCCAATGTGGTATCCGTCGATTGTTAATTATCCCAAAAGAATAATTCTTAGTCCTTATATAATTTAAATAAAAATTACCGCTGAAAATTTCAAAGTTTTCTTAAATATAATAAAGTAATAAGAAAAAAAAAAACTATTATACATATGTAGGTTAAATTTATCAGAGCTTTTGAACTACTGGAGTCATCTTCTTACTGAAATAGAATCATGGTGATTCTAAAAGTTCGTTTAGTTATTTCACAGACTATGGGAAACAATTATCTAACTTATCTAAGAACGACATTATTGCTAAACCAAACTATTTATTTCATTTCTCTTGATTTCGACAGCAGATGGAAAATACCAAAAACAAGAAATAAAAATACTAAAATTGTGAAATAACAATTCAGGTATATAACTATCTGTCTGTCCCATAGTTTGTGAAATGTCTAAATGTACCTTAACAAATTTGAAAATAAAGAAACATTTACACATTTAAATTAAAGAAAATATTTAATAAACTAGTAAAATTCAAATAAACTATAATATTTTTTGACAAGTTTTTTTTTGTATGTATATATTAGGATAATTACTTCGGAAAAAAGAAAGAAACTAACTACCAGTATTAAATGGTGTTTAAGTGATTCTTGTACTCCTATTAAATGTAATTAGACGAACAATAATACTGTTAGTGATAATTTTTTCATAAAACATGGTCAGGGGTCTTTAGCCGAAGATCCGTCTATGGCGATACATGGACGAAATCTACTTCTCAGGAGCTGTAATTTGTAGTGAAACGAATCCGACTACTATACCAAGTTTAAATATTAGTGGATTGTCGATTTATCTAACGATCTACTAAGCTGTTTAAGTAGATATATTAGTACATTTAGTACATTAGTACTTCACACAATCCGCCCTACTAAAAATCACCAATGACTTACATGCCGCAATGGACGAAAAAATGCTAACTGTGTTAATACTTCTCCACTTTTCCAAAGCTTTTGACTCCTTAGACTACTCTATACTTTACACTAAATTAAAATCTCTATCCTTCTCCAACAGCTCTATCCTTTGGTTTCAATCATTCCTCTCCGAGAGGATTCAGCAGTCAGCATTCCAAACCAATACCTATCTTCCTTCCTTACGCAATCCTCTGGAGTGGCCCAGGGTTCGAGCATTTCCCCTCTCCTATTTAAATCCTATATAAATGGTCTTCCGAAATTCATCAACCACTGTTCACACTCTTAGATTAGTCGGTACTTCGAGGCCGTCTAATGTGTCCCACATTTACGACGAGTTAAAGTGGCTCTTCCCTTCTTTCCGCAGACAATATTTCCTTGGATCTTTCCTATTCCAAACGATCAACACCCGACACCCTTCCTACATCTACAGTCTCCTACAGTTCAAAACTGTGGTCCACTCCCAGAAAACAAAATCCCATGTTTCCGACCATAATATCCCTTCCCATAGAACTAAAACATTCGAATATTACTTTATTGCCCGATCCACTGCCTTCTGGAATTCCTTGCCATCTGATATCCGCCATGCCTCTTCCTTGTCCTCATTCAAATATCACCTCTATGAATTCCTTCTCACATCCCAAAATGACGCTGTACAATGAAATATATATTATGAATCAAATTTTGACTGAGGTGAATGGTTGTTGAAATTATTTTGAGTTTTAATTTTAAAAATCAACCCATAGAGCTTATAATATTTTGTTTTTATTTTATCTGATTTATGTTTTCTTTTCATTTAAATAATGTTTGTTTTTTTTTTTTCAAAATAGTGTTACTTTTTTATTTGTTATAATTTACTTTCACTGAAGATACTGTATATTCTTTAATTTTGATTAATGTAA